GACGGCCTCATCCTTCTCTTACACTCCGGACAGCTTCATAACTTTAAAAAGTGTGGATCATTCAGAGATTGTATAAAAGGCTCTTTAAGGTAGAAGTGTAGTTATAGTAATATCTCAGGCTATCAGATTGTTCCTGGGGCCATAAATCATGGAGACGGCCCTGTGATGATGTGGATCCGTCAAGAATGTTTCATATTTAGCTAAATTTAAAGTGTCTGATATACAGCTTTAGGCCCTCTGTATGACTCTGCAGTTCAGTCATTGATCCAGCTGAGTTCTTCAAATACTTTCTCCCAGTCCCTCTCGGCTCTGCAGGGAGACCCCTCACACCTGGACTCAGCCAGGTCTGTATTGCATGTTAAAGAGGTAATAATGTCTCTATGATTACCCCGCAAAGTGATCTCTCTCCGTCAGAACGCTTCACATGTTCAGACCTCCAGCTGGGAGACGCTCTGAGTTACCGTGATTACAGCGCTGAGTCATATGTCAGAGGAGGATCAGACTCCTACACTCAGTGATTAAGTCACCTCCTGTCTGTGTGTCTTACTGTGCCTCTGACTGGCAGGTGACAATGTGTGTGTGTGTGTGTGTGTGTGTGTGTGTGTGTGTGTGTGTGTGTGTGTGTGTGTGTGTCTGTGTGTGTGTGTGTGTCTGTGTGTGTGAGTGTGTGCGTGTGTCTGTGAGTGTGTGTGTGTGTGTGTGAGTGTGTGTGTGTGTGTGTGTCTGTGTGTGTCTGTGTGTGTCTGTGAGAGAGAGGAGGGGTCACACGGATTCAGACCTATTTGTTAAATTACTTAGACTCATCATGGGGCGCTGGTGACGCAGTGGTTAGTGCACGCATGTATGGAGGCTGTAGTCCTCAACGCAGGCGGCCCGGGTTCGAATCCAACCTGTGGCTCCTTTCCCGCATGTCAATTCCCACTCTTTCTCCATGATCTCCATCTCTGTCCACTGTCCTATCTCTCCATTAAAGGCACAAAAGCCCAAAAATAAATCTTTAATCGAAAGAAAATGTAAAAAAGACTCAACATTAATCCACCATAAGTTCTAAACAACATGGGCAAAGCGAAGTGCAGAAAAAAACTTCCTTTAAGAGGCAGAAACCTGGATCAGAACCAGACTCATGTTCATTGTCCCATTGACATTTTAACATGGATCTCTATGGGGACTGACTCACTGCAGGAGACAGACTCTAGTGGACACTGGAGGAACTGCAGCTGTAAAGTTGGACATTTTAACATGGGGCTCTATGCACAGCAAAATCAGCATACTCAAATTAACACTATCAGAGTTAATATTAACACTTTTAAAGTGTCTATATGGGTCCACACCACAAAGTGTTAATTTAACTCTTTTTTGAGTTATAATTTAACACCAGGTAACACTAACCAGTGTCACTTTTGCTCAACACTGCAATGTAGTGTTAGAAATTCACTCTTTCAGAGTATCTTTTTTAACTATTAAAAGTGTTACCCCCATATTAACACTGTGAGGTGTGAACGTTGCTTTAATGAATTACTGAAATGAATGAAAAATACACTCAAAAAGATCATGTTTGATTAAAAAACATTTATTTTAAAACATGTGCACCACATAACCGTTTAAAACACTTTCTAAAACATACAGCAATATGAAACAATGTATTTGAATTGCCCCCCGGGGACAAATAAAGTTTTTTGAATTGAATTGAATTGCTCTCTAATTTTCATTACAATATTACTTGAAATGAGGCCTGGAAGCTCACGTGAGCCATCATAGGTGTTGAGTTGGACTGTCTTCATTCTCCATGCAAGACAACCTGAATTGGACGATCTCTTCCTGCTCATGCACACACAAACACACAAAAAAACATTTAGTTAATAATCTTATAGCACGACTGCATAAAGATAGCATAGCAACATGCTGTTGGACAAGTCATGAACGAGCAAGGCAGCTTAGCAAACATAAATCATTCACTTACATTTTTCTGCTGTTTAACAAAAATAATGCTAGTTTTAGTCTCGCTAACAGGAGATATCATACCAACACTCACACAGCAAACTTAGCATACTTAGCTTAATAAACAGTTCATTGGGACACCATCTCTGAAACATTTATCATAGCTATGGTCCTTGCCATCAAATTTAAGATGGCAAGATGGCAAGATGAAATCATTGAGTACATAAGCTACTTAGGAGGAGAATAAGATGGCTAGCTAGATATTGCAGCATAAAATCAGCTAACAGTGTTACAGTGGCTAATATTTCAAAAAGACCATACACAAGAAGAGTAGTATCAATATCTATATGAAAACATAACGTTTACTGAAAATGCTTTATTTTCTTACCGGCCAACGTCAGGCTAAATCCACAAGTCAACACAGTCTGCAGTCTTCATGACTTCTGTCAGTGTGTGTTCCATTATGGGGGTGGGGAGGGATAAATAACACTTTAAGAGTCACATCCAGGTTCAGAGTTCAGAGTGAAAAGTAAAAGAGTTAAAGATGTTGCAGTGACACTTACAGATTTGATTACTTGACACTTCGTTTTTACACTCGATTTTGACTCTAACTCCTTTTCAACTGAGAGTGAAGTTTCAGGAATTTGACTCCATCCAGAGTATAATTAACTCTGCACTTCCTGAAATTTCACCAACACTAAAAATTGAACTCTTTTCCTTTTTCTGTGTGGGGACTGACTCACTGCAGGAGACAGACTCTAGTGGACACAGGAGGAACTGCAGCTGTAAAGTTGGACATTTTAACATGGGGCTCTATGGGGACTGACTCACTGCAGGAGACAGACTCTAGTGGACACTGGAGGAACTGCAGCTGTAAAGTTGGACATTTTAACATGGGGCTCTATGGGGACTGACTCACTGCAGGAGACAGACTCTAGTGGACACTGGAGGAACTGCAGTTTTTTTTACAGATCTGCACTGGCTTCATTCTTTAACAGTGGAGGTTGCTGCTTGGTTAGAGTCCATTCATGTTGTACATTATGTAACCAACAACCAGAGGTGTAAAGTAACGAATTACATTTACTCGCGTTACTGTAATTGAGTCGTTTTTTGGTGTACTTAAAATCTGTACTTTAACTTTCACTTAAGTAGGTTTTCTGTTAAGTATTGTAATTAGCTACATACAGAGAGAGAGAGAGAGAGAGCGAGTGAGAGAGAGACAGACAGAGAGACAGAGAGAGAGAGAGAGAGAGAGAGAGAGAGAGAGAGACCCTTTTCTTGGCTCGGTGCCACTTCAGCTAGTGCAGCACGGATAAGCACCTCCACTACAGCGGGTCTACCTGCTGAAGGTGTTTATAGACTGATGTCTCATTGTCTTAAGTCCAAGATGATTAACATAAGTTGGCTGTGGTTCTTACTCATGGGCAAAGAAGTGGCTGAGAATGCTGTTTCTCACTACAGCGTTGTAGAGAATCGCCATTGTATCTCCGCTGCAGCTCCGAGCGATAAACAAATTTAATTCTGGAAAGTTTTTTCACAATAAAAGTCCCTTATTGCCATCTCTGTGATGTGCTTTTATTTTGAAGCCGACATATCAGGAAGTTGGGTGTTATAAGTTGCAACAAACAGCTCATTACTTGAACATATAAGTCTTGATATTAAATTATCCATCATTATTTATATTTTGTTTTTGTCTATGGGGTAGAAAAGAAAATGTTTATCTGAAAAGATAAATCTTTGTAAAGATTTGCCTTTAATTAAAAAAAACTTTGAGATTAATATCCTCTCGTCCTTTTTGCACTACACAGGAGAGATGTGTTGTTAAAAAAAGTAACTAAGTAACTTTTACTTAAAGTACATTTAAAACAAGTTACTTTTTACTTTTACTTGAGTACATTTTAAGACTGGTACTTTTACTTGTACTTAAGTAAAATTGTATTACAGTAACAGTACTTTTACTTGAGTAGAATATTTTAGTACTCTTTACACTCTGCCAACAACACAGCCATACATTATAACTGTATTTGATTTCTCTCTGAGCTTAACTCTGCATTATAATGATTCTCTTTCTTTAAAATCTACTCCAAATGAGTTCAGTGGATAATATCTTTCTCTTTTCTCTGAGTGGACAGTGATCCCCCCAATATTTACACCAAAACAATATTGATATTGTTTTGGTGTAAATATTGATTTTAACATCTTAATAGTTTCCTCTGTTTTTCAGAGTTAAGAGTAAAACATGACGTCAGTTCATCCCCTTTACTCCCTTTACAGTTCTGACTTTGAAATGCAAACAAAGGCTGTAGATTTTTTCAGGTCCTCTTCCTTCATTGGGGCCCAGGGTAGGAGTCAGTCCTACTTCTCGCCCTTTACTACTCCTTTGACCACGAGTCATCCGTACAAACTGAAGTGTGTTTAATCACAGCTCCACTGTAACAGTCATCAATGACTCACCACAGCTCTTTTAAGGTACAATATCATTCAAATCCACACAATGTTATGATGTTATGCTGTGAGTCCCGTGTACAGAGGGTGTAGTCCCCATCACAGTGGCCTTGGGTTAGAATCCAATATCTGCTGTTTGCTGCACGTCACCCCTCCCCCCTCTCTCCTCCGACCCGTTTGCCTTCAGCTGTCCTCTCTAATGAAGGCAAAATGCCCAAAAGCAAAAAAGAAAACAAAATCATATTTTATGTTTTTTATTTTTATATTAACTTTTCTTACTTTTATGCATGTCTTCGTCATACTCAGGCCTCCAAAAACATCAGCAGCTTAATTTCCGTTCGAACTGCAAAGGTTGATTCAGTCTGTGTTTTCTGCACATGTATTCTGTCCTCAGTGTCTCAGCCAGCTTTAGTGCTCACCTGTAAGCCTCTTGGGGTCTTACATGAGATAGTGATGGGCTGACATGTCACAGCCCATGGAGGGGAGTGGGGCTTTTCTCTCTGGAGAGTATTAGTGGTGCTAAAAGCAAGAAGACCACAGAGACTCGTCAGACCCTCAGGAGTCATTACAAAGTGACCTGCAGACAGAGAGGCGGATGCACCTGTCAGTTTCTCAACATGTTTGGAAAGTTTAAGGGGCTCTTCAGTGGCCCGCAGGTGCCACAAGCTTCAGGGACCACCAGAGCGGCACCTAACCCAGCTCAAACACAGACTGCAGCTCCAGCACCAGATGCAGCTCCGGCCAAGGTAGGGCTTGATTGTCTTTAGGAAACAACGTGCTGTTAATTCAATCTATTTATGAATCAGTTAAAGGTGTATAGCATCGAACACAAGAAAGTTATCTCAGCAAACTTTACGTAACTCTAACAGAACTCATTGAAGAACAGACATCTGCTGAGACTGGATGGGAGTTTATGTTTATCCTTCAGAAACATAACAACAAACTAATCCAAGCCTGAGCAAGCCCTAACTATAAGCTTTATCAAAATTAAACTTTATATCCTAATCCTTAAAGTACAGAGTGTGTCTTCCTCCTGAACCCTAACTGGTAGATGATTACAAAGAAGAGGGGCCTGATAACTGAAGGCTGTACCTCTCATAGTACATTTAGAGACCGTAGGTACAACGAGCAGGCCTGATAACTGAAGGCTCTACCTCCCATAGTACATTTAGAGACCGTAGGTACCACAAGCAGGCCTGATAACTGAAGGCTCTACCTCCCATAGTACATTTAGAGACAGTAGGGCTACTTTAAATGACTGTGGTACATAGCCTGCCAGTAAATACATATTGATCACATCTAATGTACAGCTGTTAACTAAGGGAAAGATTTCCTTAAAACAGTTAGGTATCTGGTTTCATCACTGTTTGCAAGGTCGATGTGTTAAATGATAAGTACATACAGGTTAGGGTGGGAGGTTCCAACATATGTTTCATTATGATGCAAACGTTTGATTAAGGAAAGTGGTTCTAGGATTCATATATCTATAAGACTATCTTGCCTTACAAGAGGAGATTCTTCTATTATAGTAAATGCTGTATCCTGTTCAGTTAATGCATGGAAAATGTCCCTGATGATTTTAAGTCTCGCTCTCACTGTTTGTTTGGTGCCAGCAGCAGCAGCAGAATCAGCCAAGACTTTAAAAAGTGTGACAACAAAAACTAAATATTGCACGAAGCCTGTAGTGCAGAGAGTTGTGTTTGATTGGTTCCCTCTGAGATCACAGCAGAGCTCTCTTATCTGCTGCTCCATCACTTCAATGTCTCTATACTCCAGCCAATAACGAATCAAATGATTTCATTACACAAATCTCTGAAATTTCTAATTTCTCAGCAGGCTTTTTAGTATCTGTTTATGTCACACTCAGCTGGTGATTCAAAGGGCGAGGGAGTCATTAGTCAAATAGTGCTGCACTGTTCTTTGAACCAGTTAGAATCTCTCTGATGACTGTTTGACTAATGACAAGTCTCACTGTGTGTTTCATGTTGATTTGTGTTGCAGGAGGAGAAACCAGCCGATAAGAATGAGGACATAAAAGAAGGAAGACCTCAGGGTAAGAAGTTCTTTCATCAATAAACCACTTAACTTCTTTGTGTGTTTCACTTCCTGTCCTTTAACGTATCCTCCCACAGCAGTGAGAGTTAGACGTACTCCTTTACTGTCACATGGTGAATGTTAGATAGCCAGTGTTTCAGAGCTGTAGTTTGGGTTAGGGCTGAAGTTACCAAATACGTTTAAGTGAATAATTGCTGACATTCCTGCACAAACATTATCATTATGGTTAACATTATGATTTATCAGGAATGTTGCTGATAACACTTTGCAATAACAAGCTGCAATGTTGGAACACAGTCCTAAGACATCATCACAGTATTTGCACAATTAAAGGGCTTTGCTCCGACAGGAATTAATAGGAAAATATATTAAGAAGTCATCTCCATAGGGCACTTTGTTTTTCCTGGCATGGACAGCAGGAGGGGCTGCCAGAGGGGCTGCAGCTAACATTAGCTTAGCTTGTGTTTTGACGTTACCTGTTGGTTCCTGAACGGCTGTTTTGGAAACCTATCCATAGCGGTGACCACCTTGGAAATGCTGGCTCTGTCAACCAAACAACCAACAAACAGGAGGAGCTGAGGCGGGGCTTAAGCCTCCTGACAGCTACACCGCGACTGCTTGCGGTCGAGCCTGTCACTCGCCTTATTGTGAATCACTCTTATTCTTCATTAAATCAAAACAGATGAGTCATCATAACATTCACCCCCTGTACAGTGTGTTTCGATCGAGACACGAGCTAATCACACCTATTTGTTTTTTTGAACCAGGCTGTAAACACAGGCTTTTTAGAATGGGTGTGTATGTGACTTCCTGTGCTTCTGCAGCCAGTCTCTTCACAGAGGAGGTTGTTGCTTGCAAAGGACGTGTATTTACAGAAGTTACTCCTCTTTATAACTATCGGGCTGATTATTAAACGCAGTAAAGACATTAATTAACGAATTTCAAGATAAAAATCTGTGTTTCCCAGCAGCGGCACCAGCAGCGGCCCCCACCCCAGCAGCAACCCCAGCAGCGACCCCAGCAGCGGCCCCAGCAGCGGCACCAGCAATGGCACAAGCAGCGGCCCCAGCAGCGGCCCCAGCAGCGGCCCCAGCAGCGGCCCCAGCTAACCCTGGTGAACCTGGAGCTGAGGGGTAAGAACACCGTCATCATTCTTTCCTCCTGATTTGATCTTAAACGTTGAGTTTAAGTGGGCAGGAATAATTAAAGAGAGTGGATATAATGTGTTTATCTGTGCAGTATCTCTCTCACAGTGTGACAGCACACAGCCTGCAGAGAGTCATTAATCAGCAGAACCCTGGGAGATGAACACAGGGAGAGAGATGTTGATCCTCTGCTGTAACATGCATATTAACACAGGGACCAACTCAAAGTGGATTAAAAGCTCTTCAGCTTTGAGGCTTAAAGCGGCTCACTGTGGCTGATTGTGGAGAAGCAGAGGAGGAGAGGTGGAGGCAACACGTTGATCCTGACAGGTGTAAACACAACAGGTTATCAGTGGAGGCTGACAAAGAGTGGAGGGGAGAGAACAGAGAGTGTGCAGTCAGAGGTTTCAGATCTACCTGTTACTGATTGTTCATTTATCTTTATTTAACTGTTTATTCTCCCTGTAGAGACACAGACCAGCTCTCTGTCTTCACTCTCTTTTTAGTGAAAGATGAAATCAGCGTCTTCAAATTAAAAACATGACTTTATTATCCTGAAGTGTTGGTGCGTAAAAATATGTAAACCCCATTTTTAATTAAAAAAGCACAAAGACGATCGAATGTTCAAACTGAGACATTTCTTCTTATTTTTGTATTTTACGTCCCTTTAGAGTCGACTAAGTCAAAAAGCTTCAGCCATATTTGTAGTTTAAAGATCGTCTTCATCAGAGGGACAGGTTTTAGCTCGAGGTCTTCATCAGGAGAGCCAGTGTGTGTGTCATAAGAAAGTGTTCACGGGAGGTTTAATGCTTCTGTCAGTACCTAGACTCTGCCACCAGAGTGCAGCGTCTCCTCTGTGCTGAGCAGAAACGTTCTTCAGACTTCCTGCCTCTTTATGACTCAGACTGACTTATGAAACAGAACGCCTGACATACTTCCTGCTCAAACGGGATCCAACCAATCACAAGATAGAAGGCAGGACATAACATTGTGATGAAATTGATTGGCTCATTAGCTAGTCATCAGATATTTCACAGGAAGAGAAAATACAGTGATTTAGATGTAAAAAGACTCAGAGAAGATCGTCCTTCATTGATCCTCGGAGGTAAAACTCAAGAGCTACAGCAGAAAAAAGAGAAGAAGAAGAGTGTGCAGATATATAGGAATAAAAATAAAAATAGAAAATTTATAATTTAAACTTTAAATAAAGTAAACTCAACACCATTCAGACATGTTGAGCAGGTATTCTTCATATCATGTGTGTGCTTTAAGTGCTAAAATAAAAGATGAGATAATGAATCATTTCAGGTTTAGATCGGGGTTCAATAAAGATATTCATTAAAGTGGACATCATGTGGTTTTGTCCACTAGGAGTGACGTTGAACACGTAAACAGAACTGTTTTCCAACAGTTTGCTTCATCTCAAGTTTAATTTTTGTGAATAATAAAAATCTTTCAGTGTATTTATGTGTGAATGAAGTTATTGTTTCCACCTTCAGACAAGATGCTCCTCCTCCTCCTCCAATCGTCATCAACCAATATTCAGACGAGCAGCTCAGGGCAATCGTGGTGAAGATGAGAGAGAGGCTGCAGCTTTGTAGGGAGAAGGTGGTGGATAAATATGCATCGTCTCCAGAGATCAGCCCTCCTGTCAGTGAGTGCAAACACACCGTCACAAATCAAACCACAGAAGAGTTATTTTCACCGTCTCAGCAGGTCTAGCAGGTCATCTTTGAGCAGCACTATCTAGGAAATGCAACATTTTTTAATAATAAACTTACCACAAAGCTTAAATTTCAGACTTGTGGGATGAACGTACAAAGAGTTAGTTTGGTTTTAAACGTACAGTTTGTTCTGATCCCTTCAGCTCCTCTGCTCCCTAAAGACCACTATGCTAAGGTGGTGGAGGAGAGGAAGAGGCAGGCAGAAGAGGATCGCATAAAAAAGGAGGAGGCTGACAAGAAAAAGAAGGAGGAACAGGAGAAGAAGAAAAAGGAGGACGAGCAGAAGAAAAAAGAGGAGGAGGAGAAGAAGAAAGCAGAGAGTAAGGAGGAGGAGAAGGAGGAGAAGGAGAAGAAGAGCCTGAAGATTCGGTTTGAAGAGGCCGCATGGTCCTCAATAGACCTGGTCCTGGAGCCGGTGGAGGACCAGATGGACTCGGTGCTGGGGACCACCATCGACCCGTTCACAGACCGCCATTACATAGCCTGGCTCAGCCTGGTCACTCTGGCCTTCAACTACAACACGTGGTTCATGACGGCCCGCCTCTGCTTCCCCTACCACACCCAGACCAGCATCCCGTTCTGGTTTGCTCTGGATCTACTTGCAGACCTGATCTACCTCACAGACTCCATCTTGTTCCAGGCCAGGAAACAGTTTGTCAAAGGAGGAGACATCATTGTAAGTCCTGAAGGATTCATGTTCCAGAAAACCTCCTAACCCTAAGATTCAACGTGATTCAAGTTTTATTTTCTTCTTTCAGAAAGACCGAGTGATGACCAAGAAGAACTACAGAGACTCCAACAGATTCACAGTGAGATATATATATATATATATATATATATATATATATATATATATATATATATATATATATATACACAGAGAGAGAGAGAGAGAGAGAGAGAGAGAGAGTCAGAGAGAGAGGCAGATGGAGAGAGAGAGTGAGAGAGAGAGGGGGGTTTTTTTTGTTGCCGTGGTATCAACAGGTATCGGTATGGTTTGATGGTTACTGGAATAATTTCTTGTAGAATCTGGTATGGTGACATAGTCTCTCTGCTCACAGATGGACATGGTGTCCCTCATCCCTTTCGACCTGCTCTACTTACAGTTTGGCTTTAAATCCATCTTCAGAGCCAATCGTCTGCTCAAGGTGAGATTCCTCAGGTGGTACTTCTCCTCTGTGGACATCCTGTGGGAGAGTCAGCTGACTTGTTCATGCTTCCTCTGCAGGCAGACACGTTCTTTGAGTTCAGTGACCGTCTGGAGAGCATCATGGCCAAAGCTTACATCTGGAGGTCAGTCTAAGATGATGACCTTTTCATAGATACCCCAAAGATAAAAACAAGATGTCAACATTTAAACACACATGTGAAGAAGGAATAACTTCTCAGTGAATGTGTAGCTTCAGTTTCTGTTCTGGTTCCCTTCATTGCTAGGCTCTTTCAGATAACCACGGGTCACGTTCAGGGGATCTGTCATCTCTCAGAAACACAATCCTCAGAGTTTTTAGAGGGACCAATATCTGAAAATAAAAATCGATATACCCATCAAAGACTGTGAAGAAGAAGGTATCTTAAAGTCCCTCGTTGGTTGGTAGACTACAGTTGTAAAATGGCCATATTTGGGCGGAGCCGTCGACAAGCGAGTGATTAGCAAAGAAGTGATTGTCTACAGCTCGCCTAGCATTCATTGTAACAGTGATATTCATTTGAATGATAACTTAGGCTCCTTAAAAAGTCTTGAAACCAAATGCACTAACTAAAGAAGTCGAACATTTGACCCCTCAGAATGACTTTCAGTATGTTAAATCGGAAGAGGGCATTTGTCATGGCCCCAATGGTAACGGTGGCCTTTCAGTGTCAGATGTCTCTAAACTTTAAAGTCAGTATTTGTTTAAACACACAGAATAACAGAATGAAGTAATGTTCCTCTTCTGTCAGAGTGATCCGGACCATCGGATACCTGCTCTTTATGCTCCACATCAACGCCTGCTTCTACTACGTGGCCTCAGACTATCAGGGCATCGGGTTGACCAAATGGGTCTACTCGGGCCTGGGCAGCGCGTAAGTACCTTTATGTTCTCATATCGAAGCATGCTTACATGATCTGAAGTTCCTTAAAGTACGGGTAATCTGCTCCTTTGACTGGTTACAATATGAATACTTCAACCACCATTTAGACTGAGAGCAGGAAGTCCAAATGAAAACTTCTGTTTCATTACAAACATATGGGATATTTCTGACTTCCGGCCTGAGGCCATGGAACACGATGGATTGCTCCCTCCAGGTGAAGGAGTTCAGGTATCTCGGGGTCGTGTTCACAGTGAGGGGAAGATGGACTGAAATTGACAAGTGGATTGCTTCAGTGTCAGCAGTATTGTGAGCGCTGTGTCGAATCGTTGTGGTGAAGAGGGAGCTGAGCTAGAGCTGAACTTGGTAAATGGACTTGGTAAAAGGACTTGGTGAATGGACTTGGTAAAAGGACTTGGTAAAAGGACTTGGTAAATGGACTTGGTAAATGGACTTGGTAAAAGGACTTGGTAAATGGACTTGGTAAATGGACTTGGTAAAAGGACTTGGTAAATGGATTTGGTAAATGAACTTGATAAATGGACTTGGCAAATGGACTTGGTAAATGGACTTGGTAAATGGACTTCAATTCAATCAATCAATCAATTTTTATTTGTATAGCATCAACTCATAACAAGTGTTATCTCAAGACACTTTACAAAAAGCAGGTAAAATACCTTACTTGTTGTTTTTAACATTACAAAAGAGCAGGAAAAAAGACTTTACTCATTGTTATGTTACAAATAACATGTTCTGGCAGGCCGTCAACCAACGATCACGAGGAGCGTAAGAGAGCTCAAGAGCTCCCAGGAAAGTAGGTGATTAGTGACTGAGATTTACAGATAGATACATGCAGTAATATGATGTACTGTATATGCAGAGAGAGAGAGAGAGATAGAGAGAGAGAGGAGCTCAAGGTGCCAGTTCCCCTGGTAGTCTAAGCCTATAGCAGCATAATTAGGAGCTGGTCTACACCAGCACCAGCCCTAACTATAAGATTTATCAAAAAGGAAAGTTTTAAGTCTATTCTTAAAAATACAGACTGTGTCTGCCTCTTGGACCCCGGCTGAAGACGATTCCAGAGGAGAGGAGCCCGATAACTGAAGGCTTTACCTCCCATAGTACACTTAGAGACTGTAGGTACCACTAGCAAGCCTGCATTCTGGGACCGTAATGTTCTCGAGGGGCAGTACGGCACTAGTAGCTCCTTAAGATAAGATGGTGCCTGTCCATTTAGAGCTTTGTAAGTGAGAAGAAGGATCTTAAATTCTATTCTAGACTGTATAGGGAGCCAGTGCAGCGAAGCCAACACAGGAGTGATGTGGTCCCTTTTCCTAGTTCTACTCAGTACACGAGCTGCAGCATTCTGGACCAGTTGAAGAGTCTTTAGAGACTTACCAGAGCACCCTAACAAAAGAGAATTACAATAATCCAGTCTGGTGGTAACAAATGCATGAACTAGTTTTTCTGCATCATTTTGCGACAGGATATTCCTGATCTTGGATATATTACGAAGGTGAAAATAGGCTGTTCTTGAAATTTGCCTGATGTGAGAGCTAAAGGACATATCTTGATCAAAAAGAACTCCTAGATTCCTAACAGTGGTGCTAGATGCCAGGCTGATGTCATTAAGGACAGTCAAATCACGAGAAAAAGTCTCTCTGAGGTTTTTAGGGCCTAGCACAATAACTTCAGTCTTGTCTGAGTTAAGTAGCAAAACATTTCTGATCATCCAGGTCCTAACGTCCTTTGGCTTACATAACTGACTGGTGCCATCAGGCTTCATTGATACATAATACATAGTCTACATACATACCACTTCATTGTGGCACTCCATGGCTAACTTTGGTGTGCATAGAGGACTTATCACTAACATGTACAAACTGAGATCAGTCTGATAAGTAGGATTCAAACCAACTTAAAGCAGTCCCTGTAATTCCAAGTAAATGTTCTAGTCTGTATAATAGGATCTGATGGTCAATGAGATGAGATGAGATGAGATGAGATGAGATTCAACTTTATTGTCATTACACATATACAAGTATAGAGTAACGAAATGAGGTTTGGCATCTCACCAGAAGTGCAAATAAGCAGAAAGTGCAAGAGTCTGTGCTATGTACAGTAATTACAAAATTTACAGATGTAGACTAAAAAAAGTGAATTATTAGGTATATCTGGATGGCTGGATTAATGGGATGCTATAAATATAAATAAATGCTATAAATAAGTAATGCTACAAAATAAGTGTATTCTTGGGATTATAATATACAGATTAAGGTGCAGTGAGCATGCTATACTAATAATATACAGATTAAGATGCAGTGAGCATGCTATACTAGTTTACAGATAATATAAAGAATATGGACATAATATGAACATACTATAATACAATAATACAGATGGATGAGAGATGTGTGTGTGTGACCAGGAGGAGTGGTGGGGGGATGATGGGTGTGAGGTGATATGCAGGGGAAAGGGGGGGGGGGGTCAGCAGGGGGCGGAGAGAGAGAGGGAGAGAGAGAGAGAGACAGAGTTCAGAGTTCGGGGATAGAGTTCAGTAGAGAAACAGCTCTGGGGAAAAAGCTGTTCCTCAGTCTGCTGGTTCTGGTCCGGAGGCTTCTGAAGCGCCTGCCGGAGGGCAGGAGGGTAAACAGTCTGTGGGCAGGGTGGGAGGAGTCTTTAAGGATGCCATGAGCTCGCCGCAGACAGCGTTTTCTTTGGACATCCTCAATGGCAGGAAGTGGACACCTTGTGATGCGCTGGGCAGTTTTTACCACCCGCTGTAGCGCCTTACGGTCTGCGACAGAGCAGTTTCCGTACCAGACTGAGACACTGCTGGTCAGGATGCTCTCGATCACACAGCGGTAGAAGTTCATCAGTACAGCTGAAGACAGGTGGTGTCTCTTCAGTGTCCTCAGGAAAAAGAGGCGTTGATGAGCCTTCTTAACCAGACTGGAGGTGTTAGTGGACCAGGAGAGGTCCTCTGTGATGTGGGTCCCCAGGAACTTGAAGCTGGAGACACGTTCAACAGCCATCCCATTGATGTGAATGGGGTTGTGCGTGCTTCCTCTTTCTCTCCTGAAGTCCACGATGATCTCCTTCGTCTTGCTGGTGTTGAGGAGCAGGTTGTTGTCAGCACACCAGGCGGCCAGATGCTGTACCTCCTCCCTGTAGGCCGTGTCATCGTTGTTGCTGATGAGGCCAATCACCGCTGTATCGTCCGCAAACTTGATGATGGTGTTGGATCCATGTACAGGTCTGCAGTCGTGGGTGAAGAGGGAGTAGAGGAATGGGCTCAGCACACAGCCCTGTGGTACGCCTGTGTTGAGTGTGATGGTGGTGGAGCAGGTGTGTCCTGACCTAACATACTGGGGTCTGTTGGTCAGAAAGTCCATTATCCAGTGACGGAGGGAGGTGTTGAAGCCCAGGTCTCCGAGTTTAGTGTTTAACTTGGAGGGGATGACAGAGTTGAATGCTGAGCTAAAATCAACAAACAGCATTCGTGCGTATGTGTTGTTATTGTCCAGATGTGTGAGCACAGAGTGCAGCGCAGTGGAGACTGCATCCTCTGTACTCCTATTGCTGCGGTAGGCAAACTGGAATGGGTCCAGTGTGGGTGGGAGGCAGTTTTTCAGGTGTGCTAGGACCAGTCGCTCAAAGCACTTCATTATGATGGGTGTGAGTGCTACAGGGCGGTAGTCATTCAGGCCTGTCGGGCTGGATTGTTTCGGCACTGGGACAATGGAGGTGGCTTTGAAGCATGCTGGCACAGCTGCTTGGGCGAGGGACAGGTTGAAGATGTCCGTAAAAACCCCAGTGAGCTGCTCCGCACATGCTCTAAGCACGCGCCCAGGGGTGCTGTCTGGACCAGCAGCCTTTCGAGCGTTGATCCGGCTCAGTGCAGCGTGGACGTCTGTGGAGGTGAGTGAGAGGGGCTGGTTGTCTGCAGGAGGTCTGGTCGTGGTCTGCGTCTCCCTGTTGTCTCTATCGAAACAAGCATAAAAGTGATTTAGCTCGTTCAGGAAGGAGACATCTGTGGTTATCGGGGTGGAGTTTCTGGGTTTATAGTCACTGATGGCCTGGATGCCCTGCCACATGCGTCTGGGGTCGGAGTTGGAGAAGTGTTCCTCAACCTTCAGCTTGTAGCAGTGCTTGGCCTTGACGATGCCCCTCCTCAGGTTTGCCCTGGATACGCTGTAGGCCATTGCATCATCAGATCTGAAGGCGGTGTTGCGGGCCTTCAGCAGGAGACGCACCTCCTTGTTCATCCATGGCTTCTGATTTGGGTACGTGGTGATCTGCTTCCATGTTGTAACACTGTCGATGGTGGTGTTGATATAATCCAGCACAGAAGAAGTGTAGGTGTCAATGTCTGTGTGAGAGCCCAAGGTAGCCTGAGAAGCAAACATACTCCAGTCTGTGTGATGGAACTTGTCCCCGCTGGCCACACTTTAATCGTTGTTACTGATGGCTTCACACGTTGGATGAGTGGGGAGTACTTGGGGATGAGGAACAAAGAAAGATGGTCTGACTGTCCCAGGTGGGGGAGGGGGGTCGTGGTGTAGGCTTCTGCGATGTTTGTGTAAACATGGTCCAGAGTTTTGTTTCCTCTTGTATTGCAGGAAACATGCTGGTGAAATTTAGGGAGCACTGTCTTTAAGTTTGAGTGATTAAAATCACCTGCAACTATAAATGCAGCCTCCGGGTGAGCAGTCTGTTGTTTACTGATAGCGGTGTAAAGTTCCTTCATAGCAGCTTTTGCATCGGCATCAGGGGGGATGTAGGCTGCAGTTACAATAGTGGAGCTGAGCTCCCTTGGCTGATAGAAAGGTCTACATTTAACCATGAGAAACTCAATGTTAGCTGAGCAGTGTCTCCCAATAATGACAGAGTCTGTACACCAAGCTTTGTTAATATAAATGCACAGCCCTCCTCCTCTGGTCTTACTGGAGTCCTCTGCTGTTCTGTCTGCTCGGTGTGTGTGGCGACCGGCTAGCTTGATAGCATCGTCCGGTACTCCGTTGTTTAGCCATGTTTCCGTGAAGATCATGACATTACAGTCCATAATTCTCTTGCTGTGGATGATGCGAAGTCGTAACTCGTCCATTTTGTTCACCAAAGACCGCACATTAGCGAGGAAAATGCTGGGTAACGGGAGACGGTGCGGTGTTAGCTTTAGCTTAGCTCTTATACCTCCGCGCTTCCCCCGCCTTTGTTTACGGTCTCGACGCCGCCTGCGAGCACTTCCGCCCGGCCGGGTAGAGTGCGTAGCCTCGGGTGTTTTGGCGATCTCAGGGATGAGTCGAAGATTGTTGATTAGATCGTCAGGGAGGTGTATTCCAATATCCAAAAGTTCCTGTCGGGTGTAGGATGTTAAGGCGAGGCTGTTCCGTACGAACAGACCCGAAATTAACAATAAAATTACTGCAAAATTGCAAATCTGAGAGAGACGCTGGGCCTCGCGATGCGCTCGCGCCGCCATCTTGGTCAAATCAGATGGCGTCAAAAGCCGCACTAAGATCTAACAAGACGAGCACAGAGAGAAGTCCCCTGTCTGAAGCTAGAAGTAGATCGTTTGTAACTTTAACTAGTGTAGTCTCAGTGCTATGGTGGACTCTAAATCCTGACTGAAACTCCTCAAATAAACTGTTGTCCTGGAGAAAGTCACACAGCTAATTAGCTACCATTTTCTCCAAGATCTTTGAGATAAAAGGAAGGTTGGATATAGGCCTATAGTTAGCTAGAGTTCCTGAATCTAGAATAGGTTTTTTGAGTAGAGGTTTGATTACTGCTACTTTAAATACTGTGGTACATAGCCTGCCAGTAAAGACATATTGATCATATCTAATATAGAGTTGCTAACTAAGGGAAAGACTTCCTTAAACAGCTTGGTTGAGATTGGGTCTAAAAGACAGTTTGACGGTTTCAACGCAGAAATAATTGAATTTAGAGCTGAAAGGTCGATTGGAGAAAAACAGTCTAGACTAATATCTGGTTCTGGAACTGTCTCTGCTGTATCAGACGTATCTGCACCAGGTAAGGGCATGAGGTGTGATGTCGCCCACTCTGGCCCCGGGTATACACCTAACTATGCCCGCTGACTTCGCTAGCTTCACGTTTCGGACTATGGAGTCTCCAATAATCAGAGTTTTATTCTCAGTGGGTGTGTCGCTGAGTGGGGAAAATTTGCTTGAAACGTGAAGTGGTTGGTGGGGCACCATGTGCTTCGATTTTCGACTATGCTTCCCTCGGACAGTAACCCAGCCACTGCCTCCCGGCTGCTCGGGAGTTACCGGGGGGGAAGCCAAGCTATGTCGGCCCGCAGGTGGCTGGCTAACTACTGCTGCATACGATGGCTCTGACTCAATGGTGCGGAGCCGTCTCTCTAACTCAGACACCCTCGCCTCCAAAGCTAAAAATAAACTACATTTCTTACATGTATCATTATCACTAAAGGAGGACAAGGAGTAACTTAACATCTGACACGTAGAGCAGGAGAGGGAGAGACGGAAAAAGAAGCCATTGTAAATAAAGCTAACTGCTAAGCTAGGCTAAGAGTAGGTAGCTAAAATAAACAAAACTGTTAAGCAGATTTATCGCTAGAGGGAAAGAGTGCTTTTTGATTACTTCTGTTTGTCTGAACATACAGTGTGTTGGAAACAACAGTCGTAAGAAACTGGGCAAAATTAACAACTAAGCTTTTAGCTCTAACGATCAGCACTGAGCAACACAGTACAGCTGAGAACAGAACAGGAAATGATGCAATACGCTCACCCGTAGTACGTAGCACGTAGCAGCTCCTCTGCTCCTTGAAGCTTGGTCATTTCTGGTCAAGTCCTTTTTTGGTAAAAGGACTGGGACTTGATCGTTATTGTTTTTCTCGTCTTCTGACTACTCAAAGCGCTGATTTTTTTAAATCAATTTTAACTTTCCTTTCTGGTAAAATTACGAACAGTGCCTCTAGTAAGAACTTGAAACTGTGACTTTGGACAAACGTTTTTACGTCATGCCACTCCTGCATGTGAGTGACCCTAGTGAGCCCCATCCAGTCAAAAAAGTCTGGACACGCCCCTGGATACCGTCCTCTCCTCTAGCTGTACTCGCTAGCTAGAGGAGCTGTACTCTATGTGCTGCTGTAGTTAGCTCAGCTGCTTCTTCTATGCCAAGAAGTCCGTGCTGATGATTGCTGAGCTGCCTGTTGGTCTGGTCTTTCAGATGACTAACTACCTTTTTGGAGCTTTCTTTATGTCCGTCATTCTGGGACAAGTAGTGTATTTTAAATAACACACAGACACGCCCTCTCCACAGGTACCTGCGTTGTTACTACTTCGCTGTCCGCAGTCTGATCAACATCGGGGGTCTACCTGAACCTCACACCGTCTTTGAGATCTCCTTTCAGATGACAAACTTTTTCACGGGCGTCTTTGTGTTCTCCAGTTTGATTGGACAGGTAAAAAATAGAGTCCCCTCATAGAGTCCCAGCATGGATATAAATTAGCATCTCCACGTTAGCATGTCATCACCTCTGTTTGTCTCATTAACATAGTGAAGTAGAGATAGATGATCGAGCCCTCACTCATCTTAGTTTTACTAACACCCCGTCACCGTCACTCCAGCTGTTTTTGTTCCTCATTGGTTCCCTGTGAAGTCTTGACTGTCAGAAAACGTGTGAAATGTGCTGAACGTGACATTTCAACAAGAAAAGTCATCAAATGTCTGGTTCATCTCTTTCTACACTATTATACGTCAGATGAGGGATGTCATCGGAGCAGCCACAGCAGGTCAGACCTATTTCAGGTCCTCCATGGACAACACCGTGTCCTACATGGTCAACAACCGCATCCCCTCTCAGGTCCAGAACCGAGTCCGCACCTGGTACACCTACACCTGGGACGCTCAGGGCATGCTGGGTCAGTAACTCTGGAGTCTTATTTTTCTTAAGTTGTTAAAAATTCAAATAAAACCCCTCTGTTTGTTCTTGGTGTTTCCAGACGAGTCTGAGCTGCTGGATAAGATGCCGCTGGTGATGAAAACCGCCATCGCTGTGGACATCAACCTCTCCACCTTCCAGAAGATCGATCTGTTCAAGGTGCCTGACACAAAACAATAAAAACAGACGTACGGAAGTTTGGACAGAAAGTAAACAAACATAACATTCCTCCTGCAGGGCTGTGACCAGCAGATGTTGGTGGACATGTTGCTGAGACTCAAATCTATCATCTATCTACCCGGAGACTTTGTGGTCAAGAAGGTCCATTTTGATCAGATAATAAACATGAATATGCTATATTGTGTATTTTCTGCATGTTAATGAGCGCCCTGTGCTGTGCAGGGAGACATTGGTAAAGAGATGTACATCATAAAGGGCGGGGCGGTGCAGGTGGTGGGAGGACCTGACAACAGCATCGTGTTTGTCACGCTGAAGGCCGGCTGTGTGTTCGGAGAGATCAGGTGAGATTAATCTGACATGTGGATAAGAATGAAAACACAGCGTTTAGCAGACAATCATAGTAAATCTAGCTTTTACAATCTGACATCAGAGATGTTTATTATGCACAAAACTGTGAGAAGTATACACATGGGCTCTGTCAATATCTCTTTGTGTATACAACTCTGTTCTTCTGCTTTTAGTAAAAAAAGATATGCATCAAAAGTTATTTATTTAAACAAAAAGGAAAGGACCCAGCACAGATCCCTGAGGAGCTCCACAGTGCAAACAATTACCAACATCTTCTGTTTCCTGTTGTATAAAAAGTTCTGTTTTTTCACTCTGTTGCTCCGTATAAAACATACCTTTAAATTGACTGTAGTGTTTAATGAGGAACTTGGAAGTATAACTATAAACCATTGACAAAGTCCTCACTCCAAAATGACTGAAAATATAAAACTTTTCCAGAAAACCAGAGATTGTCTGAGATCTTTAACCAATCACGTACGTCTTTGTTTCTCAGTTTATTGCAGTCGTCCAAAGACGGAGGAAACAGGCGAACGGCAAACGTAAAAGCTTACGGCTTCGCTAACCTCTTCGTCCTGGAGAAGAAGGACCTGTTTGACATCCTGGTCCACTACCCCGAGTCTCAGAAAGTTCTGGCCAGGAAGGGACGGTGAGTCTGAGCCCAGAAGATGAACCTGTTTAGATCATTCTGATGTTCCCATCTGAATTTGACTTCCTCTAAGGGCCTACAATGCCACCTTATTTAAACTGCTCTAGCCTGCCTACTTTTGCTGCTCCCTCTGCAAGCCGGAAGGTCGAGGGTTCGATCCCCAGCAGGACAACATGTCCAATGTGTCCTTGACCAAGACCGAATTGCTCCCGCTGCTTGGGTGGCTGTGTATGAATGGGATTAGTTACTTCTGATGGATGATTCTACCATCAGTGTGTGAATGTGTAGGTGTGACATGCAGTGTAAAAGCGCTATATAAGCTCTAGTCCATTTACCGTTTACCATCAATGTCATGCTTGTCATTGATGCTCTTTGGGGGTTTGCTGCTTCTCTCCCTGCCTTGTAGCTTTCCTTGTATGCACGGGTAGGGCAGGAATGTGTGCTGTTCCTGCCTCATGCTTTCCAAGTAAGCACGTGGAAGGGCAGAGAGATCCCATACAGAACCATACCGCCAAATATAAGAAAGTTCAATTAAGTAATTTACTTGACAATTTAAGTGATCCTGACTGAACTACTGTTACTAGTGTAGCTAGTAGCCACACCAGTAGTTCTTCTGTTGGATCAGACCAAGCCAGCCTTCAGTCCCCAAATGCATCAATAAACCCGGCCGCCCATAACAGTGTTCATGGTGGACCTGTTTTCCTTCGTTGGACCACCTTTGGTCTTTCTGAACACCCCAAAGAACTGCTGTTTAACGATGCTCTGAGGTTGTCTCTTCTCAAAGTTCTCATGTCCTCACACTCGCCTGTTTTTCTCGGCTTTCAACACGTCAATTTCAAGAACAAGATGTTCACTTGCTGCCTAACATATCACACCTGCACACCCAACAGGTGCCTCTGTTAAGAGATGCTCAATGTTAGCCACTTCAACTGTCAGTGGTCAGATTGAAAAACATCCCATAGTCACTGCAGACATTCACAACCGATAAAGACGACATCTGTAAGATAAAAGTCATGACACAGTGTAAATAAGAGAGCACATGCCTATATGAGGGAGCAAGGAATGTGCTATAGTGTCATCTGGATAATGATGAATATTCAAGTCTCTCATTTTTTTATCAAACCGTGAAAACTGTTGTGATCCCACAAAAGATCCCTGGGGAACTAACTAAAAGAACCTGTGGGGTGACGTCACCTCCTGTCTGAATGGCATGATGTTGAAAGTCTTCATCTACAGTTCATATAAAAAAGTGGAAAACATCTCAGCATCACTTTTACCAATGAAAGGATTCATGTTGACCGTTATTTTCTTTCTAACAGTTAATCTTTACAAACAAAATCAGATTCTTTTGAGATCAATTCTTCTTTTTCGCCCTCAGGGGCCATTATCATGTTTATGTCTTTCATGAAATCTTCACCTTTTTCCCACTCTTAGAATACTTGAGTGAACTGATCAGTTTTTCAGAGCATCCGACCGATGTGTTCCTAACTTTGAGCCTTCCTGTCTGTTTCTATGTTCGTACAGGAAGTTAATGAAGGCCAAGGGTCCTGCAGCCGCTAAAGTAGATGAAGATAAGAAGAAAGGACTCGCTCTGTTTGGACCCAAACCTCCAACGCCCAAACTGCTGCGAGCATTTGGAGGAAATTTTAACAAAGGACTTATCGAGAAAATGAAGGTAACAATACTCTTATTCTGAAAGTCACCACTCTTATTCTGAAAGTCACCACACATATTCTGACCGTTAGACTAACCATCATTATTTCTGTGTCTCCTGCTCAGAGTACCGCTGCAGGCCAATGAGGACTATGAGGAGAATCACTTTATGACTCCTTTTTGGGAGTCAGTGTACAGTTTGATGTTAACCCTTTGAGTTTGATTTTAACCCTTTGAGTCCTGTTTTGTACCGAGTGTTTTAAAAGAAATATTTTGTTATATGTAAACGTGAAAAATCTGACCATATATGAGACTCATATATATATGACCATATGAGAACATCAAATAATGCCATCTTAGGTAATGTGAGAGAAAGACTAAGCAGCTCTGGTTAAAATGTTTGTTGAGAGGTAGCTATAAACCATTACAAAACTGAACTCACTGATCTGGAGGTCAGAGTTGAATTGCATCATGCACGAGTGAAAACAGTGATTTAAACTTCTAAAGTGAGTGTTTAAATTTGTATGAAATTTAAAGCATGCAGACAGTTTAAATTGTACTACAGTGGATGTAAACATGTGACTGAACGTCCTCTGTTGTCAGTTCTAAACCTGAACTCTGTACATTTCTTCATCTTCTCCGCATGCAGATAAATAACACTCACTGTATGAAATGTGTAAATGAGTTTAAAAAAATAAATAGCTCTGTGATTGAAGTACGGTGTGACTCCGACTGCTTTGTTGTGTTTCTCCGTTCAGACAGAGAGAGAGAGCTGCTCATGCTAATCCTGTTAGCCACACAGAGACTCTGTGTGTTTGTGAACTCTGCAGCCTGAAGCGACCCAGCAGCATCAGGATCCGTTTCATTTAAAGAGAAACTTCCAGGTCTTCTTTCAAATGTTATCTCTCTTTTAAATAATCAGACTCCTGCACCTCTAGTGTGAAACAAAGACAGAAGATCAATAAAGAATCTATCTCTTGAAAAAAGAAAGATGCTAAGTATTCTAGGAGTCCCTCTGACTGCTCTTTGGTCTGGCGTGGATTTATGGCGTGCCCTGTTGGCGTGCCCTGTTGGCGTCCCGTGGCTCTCCTTGGCAGTGATTGGCAGTTGGTCTGGTGTTGACTCCTGCTGAGAGGGGAGTGTCTTGCAGGGAATTAATGTCTCAAAGACTCTTCATGATCTCAGTCGTGTGTTTGGATTAGAGAGGAGGACTTCAGAGCATCCAAACACTCTGATAAGGACCGGCTCAGGACAGGGCGTGGACGGGCTGTAGCCCCCTCTGAGCGCCGACATGTTCAGCAGGCTGAAGAAGTTGATCCGGGCTCCGGAGCCTCCCCCTGCCCAAGCTGCTCCCTCACCTCCTCCATCCCCGGCTGCTCCTGCTAAGGTAAGGCATGTCTCTATCAGACCAGTTCCAGACTTTAACTCACCTTGATTCACCTGGACTCTGTTCAGTCTGCTGCCTAAACATACCTGCACCTTAAATTAAGCAATCGATCACGTTTCATTTAAAAAACAACAAATCAGAAGGTTTCTCTATATGTCTCCAAACGTCCAACCAGATGCAAGCTCTGAACACACGAGTCGTTTCAGGTGAACAGCTGAACAGGTGAGAGCAGAGATCAGGGAAAGCTTCTGAAGCAGATCGGCTGTGATTGTTGATCTCTGCAGGCTGCACACACACAGACACACACACACACACACAGACACACACACACACACACACACACACACACACACGCATACACGCACACACGCACACACACACACGGACACAGACACACGCACACGCATACACGCATACACGCACACACACACACAGACACAGACACACAGACAAACACGCACGCACGCACGCACACACACACACACACACACACACACACACACTCATGCATACACACACACGTACACACACACGCGCATACACACAGACACACACACACACACACACACACACACACACACACACACACACACACACACACACACAGACACACACACACAGACACACACACACAAACACACACACACATATACACACACACACGCGCATACACACGCACACACACACACACACACACACACACACACACACACACACACACACACACACACACAATGGGCCTGCAAGCTGCATAGGCACGGCTATGACCCTAAACGGAAGAAGTCCGAGTTAGGATGGATTTAAACGTGGACACTTTGGATGAGTGTTTTTCAGCCGGTCTTAACGCTGTGAGGGGTTTTGTCTACATGTAAGTCTTTGAACCCTGTAGGGGCCGTGGACCAGCAGAGAGTCCACTCAGTTTAACTTTTTAATCTGCATTGTTTCCGAATAAGCGGCAGGTTTACTGTCAGCCACCGTAGCTGTTCCCCGCTCTCCATCTGCACACTGGAACCTTTGTTGTGTATTTACAGGCGGAAAAGCCCCCTGAGAAGAAGGATGAGAAAGAGCAGCCAACGAAAGAGGAGGAGAAGAAAGAGGAGGTGAAGAAAGAGGAGGAGCCTAAAAAGGAAGAGCCAACAGGTGAGAAGTGTTCTCAAACTGAGGCGCTCTCTTACATAATCTTTAATTCTTTCAACCTGCAAGAAGTAAAAAGGCTCCATTGGGATGATTTCCCTTTATAATGTTGGTGTTTAACTGAATTATTCTATGTTTTCTACCAGCTCCTGCTGCAGCTCCTGCTGCAGCTCCTGCTGCAGCTCCTGCTGCAGCTCCTGCTGCAGCTCCTGCTCCTGCTCCTGCTGCAGCTCCTGCTTCTGCTCCTGCTGCAGCTCCTATTCCTGCTCCTGCTCCTGCTGCAGCTCCTGCTGCAGCTCCTGTTCCTGCTCCTGCTCCTGCTCCTGCTGCAGCTCCTGCCGGTGCAGAGGGATCTAAAGTGTAAGAATTCCTCTTCTTGCCAATTTTTCTTGCTGGGATAGGCTGATGCAACGAAACTGTGTATGAGATGTGGACGTGCTCAGTTTGAAATCACATGCTGGTCTGCTTTGAAGCCGAGCGTTGGTGTTTAGTTTGGTCTTTGTTGCTGGAAGTGATCATGTAGTGAGCTGGCATCCAAAGCAAACAGCAAGTGTACAAAACAGAAGCCAATGCTAAACTTCCGAAAACTACAGTTCCTTGAGCGTCCACTTGAGGCCATCTGCCAAAGCTAAGAAGTTACTTTTAGGTCCTATATTGAAATTACATTTTGTACCAACAGTAATAAGCACCATTAGTGTTTTAGTCTCTTTAGCTCATCATCATTCAAAAGTTATAAACCATCTGTTTGGATTATTTGAAGGATGGGTATGTTGTAGTTGTTTGTCAGGAGGCTAAGCCCCGCCTCTTTGCCTGTTTCTAGATTGATCACCAAGGGCCTTTCAGGTGGGCGCAACGTGTCAAGCCAATTCATTGTCTATTGTGTTGCTCCACGCAAGAGTGTATCACCCAAACTCGCCCTGAGGATTTCATGAACACACCCTCTTCTTCTCTGCTGCTCGTCTCCTCCTCAGCAGAACAGATCAGAGCTTTCTACTTATTAGTGGACAGAAACAAATACTGCGCGTCCAAAAAGTAACTTTTTTCCCGACTATTGTTTCGGTCACCTAGCAACGGGCGCAGTTGCTTTTTGGTCGTGTGTGCGCTCCCCTTCTGCTCTGAGCCCTACTCCACAGCAAGCTCAGCTCGCTCCGCCTCACAGCTGAGAGGCACTTTGGCTTCATAAGCCTTCATCAGTGATGTCACTGAGACACACGTCCATGTTTTCTAGCATCATTAGCTATAGTGCTAGCTTGTTTTGCAATAAGCATCCATTATTCACAGTAGCTGTTTTATGAATGGCGAGCTAACTTCGGTTAGCCTGTGATGTCTTTAGTAAAGAGAGAGATTTCTCAGATCGCCATCGTAGCAACCTGTCAAGCCGAGGTAGCCCCGCCCTAACCCCTCCCCCTCCCTCTGCTCTCTCAGCAGCTCTGATCTCTCTGAGGCTGCAGCCCAGGACTCCTAAAGAAGGAAAGCAGATTAGGAGCTTAGCGTTATGACTGAGTGAGAGCGAGCAAAGAGACTCTTTATTTATACTCTACAGGATATATTTAGAGGTGTTCTTGTGCAAACACACATTAGTTGAGTTAGAATTAAACTCTCTAAGAAGTTCAAATATTTTATCTTTGAGGTTAACTAAGAAAAAGAAATCAAAGCTGTGTGCAGCTAACATCTTATAACAGTTTTGATAAAAACAGGAAAGACACTTTTACACTCTTAGGCTGTATATAAGAAGGACGTCATCATCTGCTTTCTTAGAGTCTGGAGTCACTACATCATGTCGGTCTCCCTCTGGAGTTTAAATTCATGGTGTGACTGCCCGTCTCCGAGTGACGTCTGCAGGCGTATCGTGTGTTCTCTGGTGGGACATAGACAGCTGATCTACTCGCCCAAATCCACAAATGATCTGAAGTTAACTTCCTCTTCTGTGTCTCTCAGCATGTCTGACTCTCTCCTCGATGTCCGACTCTCTCCACGATGTCAGACTCTCTCCTCGATGTCTGACTCTCTCCTCGATGTCCGACTCTCTCCACGATGTCCGACTCCTTCCTCGATGTCCGACTCTCTCCTCGATGTCCGACTCTCTCCTCGATGTCCGACTCTCTCCTCGATGTCCGACTCTCTCCTGGATGTCCGACTCTCTCCTGGATGTCCGACTCTCTCCTCGATGTCTGACTCTCTCCTCGATGTCCGACTCTATGTCCGACTCTCTCCTCGATGTCCGACTCTCTCCTTGATGTTCGACTCTCTCCTCGATGTCTGACTCTCTCCTCGATGTCCAACTCTCTCCTCAATGTTCGACTCTCTCCTCGATGTCTGACTCTCTCCTCGATGTCTGACTCTCTCCTCAATGTCTGACTCTCTCCTTGATGTCCGACTCTCTCCTCAATGTCCGACTCTATGTCTGACTCTCTCCTCGATGTCCAACGATGTTCGACTCTCTCCTCGATGTCCGACTCTCTCCTCGATGTCCGACTCTCTCCTCGATGTCCGACTCTCTCCTCGATGTCCGACTCGATTTCCAACTCTCTCCTCGATGTTCGACTCTCTCCTCGATGTCCGACTCTCTCCTCGATGTCCGACTCTCTCCTCGATGTCCGACTCTCTCCTCGATGTTCGACTCTCTCCTCAATGTCTGACTCGATGTCCAACTCTCTCCACTGTCCTGTCTCTCAAAGAGAGGCAAAAAGGACTCTTTTTAATCTTCAGCTTTATTCAGCCTCTCTTGATTCAGAGTATTAGAAAGAATGATGGTTTAAACTTTTCTTCTTCTCTGTCTGATTAACTACTCATGTAGCCGGTTTTCTCAGCAGTAAATTGTGATTTCTAATCACTGATTTAATTTCATGTTTCTTGTGATATTCTTCTATTGTCAGTGAAGAAGCTCCGCCCCCTCCTGTGGTCTACTTCCGCAACACAGACGACACCCTCCGAGGTTTGATCAAGAACTTAAGAGAGCGAACTGCAGTGCTCAGAGAGAAAGCCATCGACCCGTACGCCACCTCGCCAGAGATCACCCCACCTGTCAGTAAGTACAGACAGGTACACGCCCACATGTACACAGAACACCTGTCAGTAAGTAGAGACAGGTACACACCCACAGGTACACAGAACACCTGTCAGTAAGTACAGACAGGTACACGCCCACAGGTAGATAGAACACCTGTCAGTAAGTACAGACAGGTACACGCCCACAGGTAGACAGAACACCTTTCCAGTAAGTAGAGACAGGTACACGCTGTAATGTTGATGACAGCTTTAAGTGAAGCAACAACGCCATCTATGGGTGTCACATTTATATACAGCAGTCATGTAGCACAGTCATGGTTAGTTAGTCACTGTTTGTGAATGTAACCGGCAGCCTCTGGATTAAAAGCATATACATTGCTATGTCGTTGTCCGCCTGTCTCATCTTGGGGTTTTACAAACATTACATTGGCGACGAGGAGTAGAGGAAAAGACGCAAAGAGGCATTTTTCAGTGAAAGAACAGTAATCTGGACAGACGGAGACCAAGTTAATAGCGACCACGAAGCTAAAGCAGAACAACGTGACTGTACAACTTGGATAAAAACTAGCAAGCATGGCTGCCGCAGCACACGCAACTCTACCACCTTTCGACACAGAAACGGATCCTGGATCTATTGGACCACGGTGGAACAAATGGGTGCAAAGGTTTGAGAATTATGTGACTGCTATGAACATTACTGGAGACGCGAGAATTAAAGCATTTCTGTTGCATATCGCAGGAGAACGTGTGCATGACATATATGACACGTTAGCAGCACAGGATGATAAATATGCTGACGTGCAGGAGAAGCTAACTGGCTATTTCTCTCCCAAGAAGAACGCACAGTACCAAGTCTATATGTTTAGAAAAGCCATGCAAGAACCAGGAGAATGTCTGGACAATTATCACACTAGACTGAAGATGCTGGCTAAGAATTGTGAGTTTGCAGATACTACGGTGGAGATAAAAACTCAAATAATACAGTGCTGTACGTCATCCAGGCTGCGGAGGAAGGCACTGAGGGAACCAAATATGACTTTGGATCAGAACGTCACATCACTCCCACCATGGACGACGTGATACATGAGTTAAATGGAGCTACGGTGTTCTCTAAACTGGACCTGAGAGCTGGATATCACCAACTAGAGCTGCATCCAGACAGTAGGTATATAACTACATTCACGACTCACCTTGGATTGAGGCGCTACAAAAGGCTTAGTTTTGGCATATCTTCCGCTGCTGAGGTGTTTCAAAACACCACATGTCAAACACTACAAGGTCTCTCTGGCGTCAAGAACCTCAGTGATGACATCATAGTCTACGGCGCTTCTCAGAAGGAACATGACGACAACCTAAGAGCGCTGTTCCAAAGACTCAAAGAAAGCGGTCTCACACTTAACCGTGAAAAATGTGACTTCAACAAAATCCAGGCTTCAATTCTTCGGTTTTGTTTTCTCAGCACAAGGTGTTTCAGCTGACCCCAAGAAGGTCGCTGCAGTTCAACACGCTGCAGAACCACAGACTTTCAGTGAAGTCAAGAGCCTGCTGGGCATGGCCAATTATTGCTCCAGGTTTATAAAAGACTTTGCCTCTATCTCTGAGCCACTCCAGAACAGCAAGCTGCATTTCAAGCATTAAAGAACGGTCTAACAAGTGACACAGTTATGTCATACTTTGACCCAAGCAAAGAGACTGAGTTAGTTGTGGATGCTAGCCCTGTCGGACTGGGTGCTATTCTCAGTCAAAAGGATGAAAAAGGAGAAAAGCATATAATAGCGTATGCTAGTCAATCTCTCAGTGAAGTGGAGAGGAGATATTCACAGACAGAGAAAGAAGCTCTGGCCATTTGTGTGGAGTTGTGAACACTTCCATCTGTACATTTATGGTCATCCTTTAACTCTAGTAACTGACCACAAAGCTCTGGAGATTATATGGAACAACCCAAGATCAAAACCTCCTGCCAGAATTGAGAGATGGGGACTAAGACTTCAGCTCTACGACTTCAAGATGGAGTACAGAAAAGGAGCTGACAACCCTGCTGACTACATGTCCCGTCACCCCATCCGTTTTGACACAGCTGACAACGCACGTGCAACGAAAGTGGCAGAGGAGTATGTTAACTTCATCGTGAGTAATGCGATACCAAAAGCTATGACACTCGCTGAGATCAAAGCTGAGACTCTTAAAGACACAATCCTTCAAGAGGTCAGTGAGTGCATCAGACACAACACATGGAACAAAATGGACAAGTCATGTAATACAGACATACTAAAGCAGTTCAAACAAGTTAGCAGTGAACTATCAATATCACATGACTCAGACATCGTACTGCGGGGGACTAGAATAGTTATTCCCACTTCCCTACAAGAGAGAGTGCTACGGTTAGCCCATGAAGGACATCAGGGAATTGTTAAAACTAAAACACTACTCAGAACCAAGGTATGGTTTCCAGACATAGATCGAAAAGCAGAAACAGCAGTACGCAGTTGTCTCGCATGTCAAGTCAATACACCAGTTACACAGAATGAGCCACTAAAAATGTCAGTTCTACCAGAATCTCCATGGCACAGTGTGAGTGCAGACTTCTATGGACCGCTCCCAACGGGAGAGTATTTTATTGTTGTCATAGATGATTACACACGTTATCCAGTTGTCGAGAGTGTAAGCTCAACTTCGGCAAACACTGTCATTCCGGTCATAGACAAGGTCTTCTCAATGTTTGGGATCCCCAGAGTTGTAAAAACCGATAATGGACCGCCATTCAACAGTGATCAGTTCTCCCAGTTCGCAGACTATCTAGGATTCGAACATCGCAAGATCACACCGCTTTGCCAAGCCAATGCTACAGTTGAAAGATTCATGCGGACCCTGGGGAAAGCTATCCGTGTTGCGGACACACAGGGAATGCACTGGAAACAACAACTGAACATCTTCCTACGTGAGTACCGATCCACACCTCACAGTACAACAGAGAGCTCACCCGCTGAACTTTTATTCCAACACAAGATGTTCACGAAGATTGCTTCATTCACTCAAACACCGAGTAACAGTACAGATTCTGAAGTGAGAGCAAAGGACAACAAGGCTAAGGACAAAATGAAATCTCATGCTGACTTTCATCGTCATGCCAAACCACACATACTTACTCCAGGGGACACTGTACTTCATCGTCAGCCCAAGAAAAACAAGCTCACCACACCATACAACAACAAGCCATACACTGTGACCAATACCAAAGGCTCCATGGTTACAGCGGCTAGAGATGGGCACTGCATCGTCAGGAATTCTTCATTCTTCAAGAAGATACCACCACAGCTACTGGACATCTCAGCTGATCCTGATGACGAAGGTCGTGAATACAGTGAAGCCTCTACAACCACAACTACACCAAGATACCCCACACGACTCAGATGTCCTCCCACATACTTGAAGGACTACAAATAAACAATTGCTACTTGAAATGTGTGGAGTGGAGAGACAATGACATTGGAATACCAAGATGGACAGTTTTTGTTTATTTCTTAATTTCAATTATTCTATAGTTTAACAGTTAAAAAAAAAAAAGAAAAAGAAAAGAAAACAGCAAAGTAGAACAGTTAAAAAAAGATTAAAAATATTCTGTTATCAGGAAAGTTTTGAAGCATGTTTGAAGAGCAGGTTCAGTATAGCAACATTTGCATTATTTTGTTTCTTTGTTAAAAAAAAAAAAAAAGAGCAATGTAATGTTGATGACAGCTTTAAGTGAAGCAACAACGCCATCTATGGGTGTCACATTTATATACAGCAGTCATGTAGCACAGTCATGGTTAGTTAGTCACTGTTTGTGAATGTAACCGGCAGCCTCTGGATTGAAAGCATATACATTGCTACGTCGTTGTCCGCCTGTTTCATCTTGGGGTTTTACAAACATTACACACGCCCACAGGTAGACAGAACACCTGTCGGTAAGTAGAGACAGGTACACGCCCACAGGTTGACAGAACACCTGTCGGTAAGTACAGACAGGTACACGCCCACAGGTAGACAGAACACCTGTCGGTAAGTACAGACAGGTACACGCCCACAGGTAGACAGAACACCTGTCAGTAAGTAGAGACAGTTACACGCTCACAGGTAGACAGAACACCTGTCAGTAAGTACAGACAGGTACACAGCCACAAGTAGACAGAACACCTGTCAGGAGTGTGTGTGACTCACCGCCTCTCTCTGTCTCCTCTCACAGCTCCTATCCTGAAGAAGGAGGACTACATCAGGAAGAAGGAGGAGGAGAGGATAGCAAAAGAAGAAGCGGACAAAAAGAAGGCAGAAGAAGCAGCGAAAAAGGCGGAGGAGAAGAAGAAGAAGGACGAGGAGAAGCGGCTGGAGGCAGAGAAGAAGGCGGAGGAGGAGAGGCTGGCGGAGGAGGCCAGGAAGAAGGAAAAGATCCTACCCGACATCAGCTGCTCCTGCTTCGACGTCCTCTTCCGTCCAATCGAGGAGTTGATGGACGTTACGCTGGGGACTACCATCGACCCTTTCACAGGTGGGGCAGCACACCTGAGATCTAACACATTAAAAAAAAAACCTGAACGACTTAAAACCTGTGTTTCTCTCTCTCTGCAGATCGTCGCTACATCGCCTGGTTGACTGTGGTGGCGGTAGCCTACAACTACAATGCGTGGTTCTGCACGGCCCGGCTGGCGTTCCCGTACCACGGTGAACACGTCAACCGTTACTGGGTCGCTTGTGACATCCTCAGTGACTTAGTAAACGTTATCGACATCGTACTTTGGCAGCCACGGCTGCAGTTTGTCAAAGCTGGAGACATTATTGTAAGTTTCAGCTTCAGTTCACTGAGTCTGTGTTGGGTTGTGTTTGTTCTTGAAGCAGCCTAATGGGTCGGGCTGGAGATCTACTTCCTGTTTAACCTTGAGTTCAGAGACACAACCAGCCGAGTCATGACTGTTCACATATGTGACCATGCACTAGATGTGTTATAGGAGGAGGCACTAGAGGGCACCAGAGAGCTCAATAATCACTGCCATCTTTGTTCCTGCTGTTGTGTTCACTCCCCTCTGACTTTACACTGCCCCCTATTGTTCATGTGCATACTGCAGTTTGCGTCTTTTTTGCATTAATCCTGCAGGTGTGCACAGTCAAGGCTCCAAACTACGGTGGCCGGTAGGGGTCACACGCTCAGCAACTGATGAAACGACATACATTTAGAAAAACGTGCAGCATATATAGAAACGCTGCACATCCAAAAGCAAATGCAAACTACCACAACCCTCTCTTTCTCTCTCTCTCTCTCCCTCCCTGGACAAGCTGCCTGTTGGGGGGGACAGCTAGTTGAACATTGTTGATTTTTGTTTGTTTGCTGTTGGTGAGACAGTGATCTGTCAATGAAGTAAATAAAGGTTTTTAAAAACCTCCCTCCCTCTCTCTCTCTCTCTCTCTCTCCACCCCCCACAGAAAGACAGAGCCATGGCTAAAGTTCATTATCGTAAATCTCAAAGGTTTAAGGTGAGACTGTTATTTATTATCAGACGATGAAACAGGATTATTTAAGACCTTCATGTAACTTTCTTCTTCTTTTCTTCCTCTCTGTGTAGATTGATATAATGAGCATCTTACCTTTGGATCTCCTCTGTCTCTACTTTGAATTCTCCTCTGTGTACAGACTCAACCGCTTCATCAGGGTATGAATCATAAACATCATTTATATTTCTCAATAAACACAGACAGATTTTCACCTGATCTATTTCCTCTCTCTATGTCTCTGTCTCTCTCCTCTCTCTCTCTCCCTCTCTCTCTCTGTGTTCAGATCGACTCGTTCTTTGAGTTCAGCGATCGACTGGAGAGCATCATGGCCAAGGCGTACATCTGGAGGTACACAAATAAATATTGGATTACGTCATAAAGGTCCACTCAGTGAGATGTGTAGAAAGTGAAATGATTAAGGTATCTTACTATCTGATCAGGCATTAAGGAAACATGCTATGTTGAAGTGCTGGCTTCTCTGACAACAATGCAGCAGCCAGTATGTCCTCCTTCTAACTTTAGATTCTGCTCCTGAATGCTCTGGATTTGTTTGGACCAGAGAAGGTAGGCGGGTTTAAGGCGATCCCCATACAGCCATTTTGGACGACCCTCGGTTTGCAGTTATGAGAGCAGTTATCAGGTCAAACCAACAGTAATCACCTGATCTATCTCTTCTCTCTCTCTGTCTCTCATTCAGAGTGATTCGGACCACAGGTTACCTGCTCTTCATGTTGCACCTGAACGCCTGTGCGTACTTTGTAGCCTCGGTGCATCAGGGTCTGGATACGACCACGTGGGTTTATAGCGGAAAGGGCTCAGCGTACGTATAAACCAAACAAACATCAGGATGTCCTCGTGTGTAAACAGAGACTCGTTTCCAGATGTTTGTGTGCAGATTTCTCTTCATTTTGATTCTGAGTGTTTCCGTCCTCTCTCAGGTACCTGCGCTGTTACTACTTTGCAGTTCGCAGTTTGATCAACATCGGGGGTCTACCTGAGCCTATCACCACCTTTGAGATCACCTTCCAGATGTTAAACTTCTTCATCGGTGTCTTTGTGTTCTCCAGTCTGATTGGACAGGTAGGAGGAGGGAGGGGTTTAGAGTGATCTTTCCCTGAAGCACCTCTTCAGAACGTTAACGTCCAGCTTTCTTCTTCTAAGATGAGAGACGTCATCGGAGCAGCCACAGCCGGTCAGACTTATTTCCGGGCGTCGATGGACGGCTGTGTGGCCTACATGAACACCAACTGCATCCCAAAGCATGTCCAGAACAGAGTCCGCACCTGGTACAACTACACCTGGGCCGCTCAGGGCATGCTGGGTAAAACTCCTGGAGGAGGACTCAGGAAAGATCTTCAGACATGTTGATAAAATGTTCTGACAGCGTGTTTCTGTCTCCCCGTGGACTGCAGACGAGTCTGAGCTGCTGGATAAGATGCCTCTGGTGATGAAGACCGCCATCGCCGTGGACATCAACCTCGCCACCTTCCAGAAGATCGCTCTGTTTCAGGTGAGCTCAGAACCTCAGATTTGAACCTCCACCTGTTAGTTACAGAAGATGACATCACTGAAAGTGTTTACTTTGGAAGGTCATACACACACCTGATACTCACCTGTTCACCTGTTACTCACCTGTTCACCTGACATTCATCTGTTCACCTGATACTCACCTGTTCAACTGATACTCACCTGTTCACCTGTTACTCACCTGTTCACCTGATACTCACCTGTTCAACTGATACTCCCCTGTTCACCTGACATTCACCTGTTCACCTGATACTCACCTGTTCACTTGATACTCACCTGATACTCACCTGTTCACTTGATACTCACCTGTTCAACTGATACTCACCTGTTCACCTGATACTCACCTGTTCACTTGACACTCACCTGATACTCACCTGTTCACTTGATACTCACCTGTTCAACTGATACTCACCTGTTCACCTGATACTCACCTGTTCACTTGACACTCACCTGATACTCACCTGTTGAGATGAGATGAGATGAGATTCAACTTTATTGTCATTACACATATATAAGAATAGAGTAACGAAATGAGGTTTGGCATCTCACCAGAAGTGCAAATAAGCAGAAAATATCTTATTGATCTTATTCAATATCTTATTGAATATCAACTGATATTCACCTGTTCACCTGATACTCACCTGTTCACCTGATACTCACGTGTTATCCTGATACTCACCTGTTCAACTGATACTCACCTGTTCAACTGATACTCACTTGTTCACCTGATACTCACCTGTTCAACTGATACTCCCCTGTTCACCTGACATTCACCTGTTCACCTGATACTCACCTGTTCACTTGATACTCACCTGATACTCACCTGTTCACTTGATACTCACCTGTTCAACTGATACTCACCTGTTCACCTGATACTCACCTGTTCACTTGACACTCACCTGATACTCACCTGTTGAGATGAGATGAGATGAGATTCAACTTTATTGTCATTACACATATATAAGTATAGAGTAACGAAATGAGGTTTGGCATCTCACCAGAAGTGCAAATAAGCAGAAAATATCTTATTGATCTTATTCAATATCTTATTGAATATCAACTGATATTCACCTGTTCACCTGATACTCACCTGTTCACCTGATACTCACGTGTTCTCCTGATACTCACCTGTTCAACTGATACTCACCTGTTCAACTGATACTCACTTGTTCACCTGATACTCCCCTTTTTTCCCGCCCGTCTCTCCTGCAGGGCTGTGACCAGCAGATGTTGGTGGACATGTTGCTGAGACTCAAATCCATCGTGTATCTCCCCGGAGACTTTGTGGTCAAGAAGGTAGGTTATTATCAGATCATGTTTATAACACATAAACATCGCACAAAAAGTAAGGACATTTGTGTTTGGTAGATTATTTCTTTGGTGTAACAGTGTTTCTTGGCAATAAATCTTATAGCGTTGGAAAGCTGGTTTATTACCCTTTTAAATGTTGCCACATTTGTAAGGATCATGCCTTTGTGGGATAAACAGCAGGGAACCTGTGTTCTCCAACTGTCATAGGCAGAATCTGGACTCAGCAGAACATAATGTTCCTCCACATGTTCTGGTTCCAGTGCACGTGTTGCAGACACCAGAACAAACGGGCCTGATGGTGAAGGGCAGTCATAGCAGGCCTCCTGGCAGCCCAATGAGAGTGGACATAGGCTGCGTGCAGTCTGTTCCGGATTGTCTGGGTAGAGAGCCATCGGCTATATCGTCCTGCAAATCTTGACTGCAAATCTCCAACCCACATACTTAGCTCTGCTGCTTATCCCACAAAGGCATGTTCCTTACAAATGTGGCAACGTTTAAAAGGGTAATAAACCGGCTTTCCAATGCTATAAGATTTATTGCCAAGAAGCATTGTTACAACAAAGAAATAATCTACCAAACACCAGAGGTGTAAAGAGTACTAAAATATTCTACTCAAGTAAAAGTACTGTTACTATAATACAATTTTACTTAAGTACAAGTAAAAGTACCAGTTTTAAAATGTACTCAAGTAAAAGTAAAAAGTAACTTGTTTTAAATGTACTTTAAGTAAAAGTTACTTAGTTACTTTTTTTTAACAACACATCTCTCCTGTGTAGTGCAAAAAGGACGAGAGGATATTAATCTCAAAGTTTTTTTTTAATTAAAGGCAAATCTTTACAAAGATTTATCTTTTCAGATAAACATTTTCTTTTCTACCCCATTGACAAAAACAAAATATAAATAATGATGGATAATTTAATATCAAGACTTATATGTTCAAGTAATGAGCTGTTTTATGAAGGGAAATGTTTAAACTCTAAAAAATACTAAAAGGGTCTTTGTCTCAATCATAGACAGTGTATTTTAGTCTTTTTATTTTTATTATTCTGAGGCTGCTTAGTCTCAAATGCAGCCTCAAAGGCTGATTTAGCTGCAACTAAACCTGAGATGAAAGATAATCCATGTATTGTTTTAAAATGAACCTGTATGAGCTTAAATATTAGATGTGTTAGTCACTGTTTGTTTACCTATTAGCTACTGAAGCTTCTAACTGAATCTGTTTGTGTTGAAGTATTTATTTTCACACATATGACATTTGTTAAGTTGTTGCAACTTATAACACCCAACTTCCTGATACGTCGGCTTCAAAATAAAAGCATATCACAGAGATGTCAATAAGGGACTTTTATTGTGAAAAACATTCCGGAATTAAATTTGTTTATCGCTCGGAGCTGCAGCGGAGATACAGTGGCGATTCTCTACAATGCTGTAGTGAGAAACAGCATTCTCAGCCACTTCTTTGCCCATGAGTAAGAACCACAGCCAACTTATGTTAATCATCTTGGACTTAAGACAATGAGACATCAGTCTATAAACACCTTCAGCAGGTAGACCCGCTGTAGTGGAGGTGCTTATCCGTGCTGCACTAGCTGAAGTGGCACCGAGCCAAGAAAAGGGTCTCGCTCTCTCTCTCTCTGTCTCTCGTCGCTCCTGTGCGATGAAGGAACATCATTCATAGCAGGTCTATTTGTTTTACTCAGGATGTGATTTAGAATGTACCGAATTACAATACTTAACAGAAAACCTACTTAAGTAAAAATAAAAGTACAGATTTTAAAAACGACTTAGAAAGTAGCAAGTACACCAAAAAACTACTCAATTACAATTCGTTACTTTACACCTCAGCCAAAAACAAATGTGTAATGAGCGCCCTGTGCTGTGCAGGGAGACATTGGTAAAGAGATGTACGTCATAAAGAGCGGAGCGGTGCAGGTAGTGGGAGGACCTGACAACAGCATCGTGTTCGTCACGCTGAAGGCCGGCTGTGTGTTCGGAGAGATCAGGTGAGTCTGCAGACTGAGACACGTTGAGATCGACTCTCATTAGTGCGTGTGTGTGTATCATTCTTCATCTCAGTTAGGCGATGACTCTGACTGTGATGATGGAGGACAGTTTGTCTTCTTGTAATAACTTGACTCATTGGAGACGCTCAGAGTGTTAAAGTGTGTCTGAGGACAGACAGCTCTCATAAAGCAGCCCTCCATGCACTGATGTGTAGAGGCGCTGCTTGGGGCCCCAGACCAGTAGGTACCCATGAAGGCTCACAAACATAAACAAGGCAATGTTCAAATGTTTTCAACGACAGTATGAAACCTCTCTAAGGGCGTCCCGTCTGACAGCAATCACTCTAGTGGCCCTACTGAGCAACGCATATCTGAAAACCAAAGTTGGCCAATGAGAGTCAACAAAGAAAAGGAGAGGAACAAAAAAAGGAAGAGGAGTACGCGTGATACCAGCAGACATGATGCTGATGAACGCTGGTTGCAGGGCCCCCCAATGGAGCCCCAACAGATTTCAGAATCGCTGCAGATGTCTCTGCTCTGCACGCTCATATGTTTTATGTGATCACAAGTGTAGAGGTGTGTTTGTGTATTCTCTGAAGATGAACACGTATTTCTATTCTTATTGGATTTTGTTTGACTTGAATCCTCTTATTAGCTGCTGTAGAATAAAGATAGATATCATGTCGTTTTTGTAAGTTCAGTTTGTATTTACTGTTCCTGTGAGTACCTGAATAAGCTTCCTCTACCTACAGTCAACTCTTTGTCCCAGATATTATATGATATATGAGTGTATATTTATTATATCTGTATCTGGGTCGCAGTTTGCTGCAGTCCGCTAAAGACGGAGGAAACAGACGCACAGCTAACGTCAAAGCTCATGGCTTCGCTAACCTCTTTGTCCTGGAGAAGAAGGACCTGTTTGACATCCTGGTCCACTACCCCGAGTCTCAGAAAGTTCTGGCCAGGAAGGGACGGTGAGTCTGTCTCAGCTGTCTGAGCAGCACAGAGTCTGTTGCAGTCCAGTTTAACCTGCAGAAACCTCACGTTTCTGTGTGCGTGTGCATGTGTGCGTGTGCGTGCGTGTGTAGGAAGCTGACCAAAGCCAAAGCTCCTGCAGGAGCGAAGGTGGAGGAGAAGCCTAAAGGTCTGGCTATGTTTGGAAACAAACCACCGACTCCGAAGCTGCTCAAAGCGTTCGGAAACTTCCGGAGAGGATCCGTGATGGATAAACTGAAGGTACACAACATTCTGCACAATGATCGAATCAGACTGAGTCACATCAGGACTTTATAAAATGTGTCTGTTTGTTCTTTGTCCACAGCAAAACGCAATGGAGCAGAAGTGAGAGCTAAGGAGTGACACTGTCAGCTGCAGAGATGACTGGACAGAGTTAAAAGGTCAAAGTGTCAGAGCTCCTCACAACATGTCTGTGAAGTTTCTTGTTCTAAATCCACTCTGATCCTGTATTTGATCATGTCTATAAACCCCTCTATTTCAGCCCTGCTCAGAACAGGCTGTTTCTGTGTCTGTACCTTTAAATATGTAAATGAGCTGTGTCTGACCATGCCCCCTCTCTGGAAGGACTTGGGTAAGAAGGCAGACTCAGAGGGCAGAACAAACACCTAGCTGTGGGAGTGTCACCCACCTGGGGAGGGGTTACTGCCCTTTGTGATGTCATGAACAGAAAATCTCCAAACGGCCTGTTTGAGCACACATTTTCTGAAAAGTGGAGCATAATATGAAGTATAATATGTGACCGTTAAAGATGATCTGTCAGATTCTGAAACATGTTTTAAAGTGTGTGAATGACCTCAGAGGTTTAGTCCTGTTAACCCTCATCAGTGTCTGTTTTCATAATAAACTAACGTCAGACGTTTACGACCATGTGTCTCTCCTTTGTTAGAACACGATGAACTCTTGTCTGACACGAGCTGAACAGCTGAGCAGCAGCACCACCTGCTGGTTAATGTTTCCAACAGTTCAGCTGATCATGACAGAGCTGTACTCTTCACAGTAAGGATCATCTTTGTAGTGAGTAACAACACACAGACGGCTGTTATTGAGTGCTGATAATAAAAGACACAAAACGCTTTATAACATGATGGCTAATTAAAAGAGCAGTGTAACATGAATTCATGATGAAGCTGCAAACAGAGAAATAAAGTCTGAACACTGTCCAAGGGTCCAGATCGAAACTGCTCCTGGACTTCATCTGTCTGACCCTGACGGACTGAACGAGACCTTCATGTAACAGCAGAGAGTCCTCACTCTGCAGTGACCTGAACAACAGGAAACCTGCCCAGTAGGACCCAGTATATGTGACTGGGAGTCTCTCTCTTGTCCTCTAGCTGCAGATCTTCCAGAACTTGGTCTGTCTGTCGTCTCCTCCTGTGATCACTGAGCTGCACAGCTCATTCATCCACATGGTCGTCACGGCGCCTGTGTACAAAACAAACACGTCACCATGGATACATTTCATTAAGTAATAAGATAAACAACATGTAACATCTCATACTCCATGATTGACTCCATTCGTGTTTTCTTTTAGGTCTCACACCAGGCAATCCGTACCGTGCCTAAGCACCCTTCACCCCTAAAGTCCAGTTCCTTTGAGAAGTGTGAGCGCTCCGATCCGTGATCAAGCTCGCTACCCTTCCTCAGCACTGGCACGCTTGGAAGAGGTGTGCTTCAGCACGGTACGGTCCTGGAGCAGTGTGAGTGCAGGCCAGCAGGGGGGGGCATCGTGTTCCAGCATGGCCGACACTCAAGGAACTGCAGGATTTTACACTTCAGCATCAGCTTCATTTTTCAAGACTGGAGGTTGCTGCTTGGCTTGAATGCACTGAACCAACGCGCTCTGAGCGTGTTTGTGTTTGTACAAAGAGGGATGGCGATGTGAGCAGAGACTAAATGTTAAATAAAATACAAAATAAAAGATATGTAGAGATTTTCTCTGCATTGACGAGAGGAGCGATGGTTGTCTGTAGCTGTTTAGTTCAGTTCTGTCAGACTCACAGTACAGGTGTGCGTCATATCTCTTACATATGTTTTGTAACATCCAGGCCAGAAGGGGGCAGTAATGCACCTGAAGTCAGAGTGCTGTGCTGGTTGTTGTTCTCAGAGTTATACTCTTCAGCTGTCAGCATGCTTCATGGTAAATTGTCTCGCAGTTAAGATGGTAAGATTACAGACTAAATATTTATGATATATTTAAAGAGCTTCTGGGCTGTATGTGTCAACTCTGACTTCAGGGAGACGGTGCACCTAAAGGGACAAAATGTATGCTCTCATTTCTGACTTTATGCATCTCGTCCTATTTGACGTCTTTGCTTGAATCAGAACCGACTGAAACTCGTCACTGTGTGATAATAATTGTCTTCTTTATGAGTCGTCTGCCTGCTCAGCTGTCAGAGATCACATGACTCTTCAAATGACGGCAAGCCGCAGAGTGTGTCGCTGGGATCCGAACCTGAGTGAGCCGGGATCCTCTTGGTGACGGTGTTACTGATCAGATCCCACAGCAGCAGATCTCCAGACTGACCTCCTGCCAGCACCCAGCTGCCGTCCCAGCAGAAACACCTGCAGACCACAAGGTGTTACATCATCATCAGCTGTACCAACAACCTTTCAAACACAGACGTTTAAAACCAGGAAGTGAGTCTGTGTGTGACCGTCCCTCTAAACTCTATTGAATCTGTACGATGATAGAAAGTGACCTCTGCTCCTCGTCGGCCTTCACTGAAGAGATCACCATCCCCGTCTGCACGTCCACCACCTTCATGCAGCAGTCTGCTCCGACGCTCAGCACATGGCGGCTGTCTGAGGACCAACAAACAGAGTCAGTGTCAGCTGTGGGCTTCATGTGACTGAGGCAGATCCTTAAAGACCATATATAGACAAAGTTCCTGAGAACACAAGCTCAATAAAAGATATAAAACTATAGGTTTTACAGAAATGTAGAAGTGATATAGAAGCTGAGATTATGTTTAGACTGCGACGTGTGCAGAGCAGGAAACAGCGTTCAGTCTCTGATACGTGTAAAGCGGCGCCTTCAGCACCCGTTGAAGCTGGCTCCGTTGGCTCACCTGGACTGAAGGCCGTGTGGTGGATGTTTCCTGAGTGACAGTGGACCTGCTGCAGGGCGCTGAAGCTGCTCATGTCCCAGATGGAGACGGTCCCATCTTTACAGCCAGAGACCAGCAGGGTCCCCGTTGCACTCAGAGAGATGGTGTTCACCTGCACAGGTGGAGCATGGAGAGGAAGTTACCACATGGGGAAACAGGACAACCCCCAACCCCCCCCACCGGATTGTTGATGGACGGTTTGCCTCCCCCCACCCCCTTGCTCCCTATCCCTCTTCCTGCATCTTATCACATCTCTCCCCCTATCCCTTTCCAACCCCGGCGCAGTCTAGGCCTGTGAAGGCTGTTTCTTCATGAGCAGGGGATCCGGCCGAAAATTTCTGCCTTTTAATAAGGCAGTTTTTTCTTACCACTGTAACTTTTGCTGCTTTGCTAAAGTGCTCATGATGGATAGGCCGGATCTTTGTAACATAGCAATAAGTAAGGTCTTTTACCTGCTTTTTGTAATATAGCAATAAGTAAGGTCTTTTACCTGCTTTTTGTAACATAACAATGAGTAAGGTCTTTTTATCTGCTCTTTTGTAATGTTAACAAACAAAGAGTAAGGTATTTTACCTACTTTTTGTAAAGTGTCTTGAGATAACACTTGTTGAGTTGACGCTATACAAATAAATAAATTGAAAATAAAAATTGAAATTGAAGTGCGTTTTTCTTTAAAGGTGAAACTTGACTTCACATTACAAACAGCTCAAACAACAACCACGCTCTGAACACATGTCCTCCGTTTGAAGGTAGGAGGTCGAGTCTGAACAACATTCAGTCAGGCGTTCTCTCTCACCCCGGCATCGTGCTCCAGCTCTGACAACAAGTCAAACTGAGATCTCCTGTGATTGGACGAGCTGTCAGCAGGACACCGCCACACCTGGGAAACAAACCCAGCACGGAGCCTGTTAACACAAACACACCTGTGTGCATGTCCTCTTAAAGGCACAGTGTCACTGATTCCTCACCTTCACCGTGGAGTCCCAGGACGCCGTGTAGAGCCGCTCATCAAACCAGCACACCCGACTGACGGCGTCATCGTGACCCATCAGAGTGTCCTGTCTGCGTCCGAACGGGACCGAGTAGAAATACCTGAGGAGGAGGAAAAGGAGGGTCAGGGGGGAGGAGGGATCCCTTATGAAACCCTTGTGTTTGTAGTTTCTCACGTACACGTTGTTGTCCCAGGACGAACAGACGACCGTTTGACCATCAGCCAGCAGCAAGCACGACGACAGAGCCTGAAACGAGGACGCAGCTTTAGACATGACATCATCAATCAGAGACGCGACATCATCAATCAGAGACGTGACATCATCCATCAGAGACACGACATCATCAATCAGAGACACGACATCGTCAATCAGAGACACGACATCATCAATCAGAGACACGACATCATCAATCAGAGACACGACACCATCAATCAGAGACACGACATCATCAATCAGAGACACGACATCAATCAGAGACATGACATCATCAATCAGAGACATGACATCAATCAGAGACACAACATCAATCAGAGACATGACATCATCAATCAGAGACATGACATCAATCAGAGACACGACATCATCAATCAGAGACATGACATCATCAATCAGAGACATGACATCAATCAGAGACATGACATCATCAATCAGAGACATGACATCAATTAGAGACACGACATCATCAATCAGAGACATGACATCAATCAGAGACATGACATCATCAATCAGAGACATGACATCAATTAGAGACACGACATCATCAATCAGAGACATGACATCAATCAGAGACATGACATCATCAATCAGAGACATGACATCAATTAGAGACACGACATCATCAATCAGAGACATGACATCAATCAGAGACATGACATCATCAATCAGAGACATGACATCATCAATCAGAGACATGGCATCATCAATCAGAGACACGACATAATCAGATGTGACATCATCAATCAGAGACACGACATCATCAATCAGAGACATGACATCATCAATCAGAGACACGACATCATCAATCAGAGTCATCAATCAGAGACATGACATCATCAATCAGAGACATGACATCATCAATCAGAGACACGACATAATCAGATGTGACATCATCAATCAGAGACACGACATCATCAATCAGAGACATGACATCATCAATCAGAGACACGACATCATCAATCAGAGACATGACATCGTCAATCAGAGACGTGACATCATCAATCTGAGACGTGACATCATCAATTAGAGACATGACATCATAAATCAGAGACATGACATCATCAATCAGAGACGTGACATCATCAATCAGAAACACGACATCATCAATCCGAGACATGACATCAATC